GTGTGTGTGTTTGAACGGCCCTCTAGAGATAGAGGGGCGCCATATCTCCAGCATTTAATAGAAAATTCTCCTTTATTGACGATGAGCTCAAAGTGCAGCCACGGTGTCGCCGTGTGTCAGGAAACCAAAGGAACAAGAACCCATGAGTAGTAATACTGAGCTAACATTCATCAGTGAACTCTTTGGTATCCCGAATGTTTCCCTACTGAATCCACACTAATTAATGCTGGCTTTCATTGACATAGTCTAAATACCATTAGACATTTGTGATTGAGTCGAGTGTTTGGAAGGAACCTGTCATGATTGGGCGCATCGCTGGTAATCAACAGCCGTATGTGTTGTAGTGTAGATAGAGCAGGGAACCAGGAACGATCCTGCGGGAGTTCGTTCGAACCATTGATCTCCATATACACAGACTGGATAGGACATCGCGCCGTGTTTGTGTACGAATGCGCGGCCGAACAATGGCGGCGCGTTTACTGTCAGACGGGTAAACGCGCATTGTGCTTTCACTTTGTTTACTTTGGAAAATGGATTGTTTAGTGTAATTTTTCTTACAGGAGGGAGTTCAAGCGCTCCTCCAAAACAATCTTAAAAAAACCCTGAACGATGAAGAGTTACCCTCCAAACAGCTTTTCCACACTTTCTTGATATACACTTTCTTATTATGCATTTTCAAAATTCAAGAACCCCCCATTTCCTTTTCCCTTATTTTTTTTAAAATCCCTTCGCCTCTCAAAAATGATTGTAAGTAAATTGCCATTTCATTTTTGGCACATTGGTCATTAGAGCACACTGAATTACTCCATCAATGAAATGAATAATTGTATTAATAATATGCCGAAATGACATCATATTTTTTTAACTGAACACTCACACGAGAAATTGTATGGAGATTCATTCAAAATGATTGATATATATTTATTAAAAAACCTGAACATAAACCAATTACAATCTAAAAGGTAAAAAAACCTTAATTTTACAAAGTAATCAGTAAAAATTTCTTCCCGTCCCTAGATTGATCAGGGAATGACATCGTTTACCTCTTTGTGATATTTTGTGAAAGGAGATGAATCACAAACCAAAATAGTACTATATAATTTTGTCAAAGAATACATTCAAGCTACGCACGGTCTTGCAATTAAATGTTTAGCTATACTTCTGAAAATAAATATAATTACTTGTAAGTGTAATGGGAATCGTTTTTGTGAGCGAATATGACGGTGTTTATGGCTATAGCTAGTAATCTTATATAACGACGTACACAACATAATTTCAAACCGTTAAAGTGCTCATTGCTTTCTTCACCATACAAACTGTCAATAATGTGACAGTCATCTTGGGAGCTTATAAAAATACTTGCGTTGAACTCCACAACTTCTTTCCAAAACCAAAATCAATCAATGTTAACAGTTCCACATCGTAAAAATTGATTAAGTCAAACGCGCAGATGCATATCACATCGCATGTTCCATTCAGTGGATGATACAGTCGATTCCATCCCTCCGTGAAGTTCTCCATTTTCGTCCGGCTCGGTCCTGCAGCTGGTGGTTTTTGCTATATGGCTTTGCTGAAGTTCTTTGTTTGATATGAAGGTCAATCGGCCAGTTGTGCAGTAAGTTAGCATAAACCATCTCCTCGGTTTCTCTTTATAAAGAAAAGAATAGAAACATTCCGGTAGGCGTTAAGCCAAGGCAGACATAATTCAATCAGATTTTGCATATAAAAGTTATTCGAATAAACTATCTTAAACAAGTCAACTTTTGTTCATTGCCATTGCCGGGTCAATCATGCACGTTTAGGCCTAGGTATGTCTTTTAAAGAAAAATAATGCCGACCACTGAGCATGACAGGCCTAGATCGCATGGAATTTGAACAGAATATCTCGCTAGCTACCACACAGGCCCGTCCCCCTCAAACTCAGAGCGACATAATTTGCTTTGTCATTCCCATTTTCATATTTCTCCATGCCATGTTGTATAGGCCTCGTTAAAAAAAAAAACTTACTTGCGAATAATTGTCCTATTCTTCAACGCTCCTTACTTCCCGACTCCAGCAATCTAATGCTGAGCACACCTTGACTATACTCCTCGTCGATTTTGATCAATTTAGATCTCTGTTTCTTTTATTCTTTCAAAAATGACAAAGAAAGCGAAGAAAACCCAACTTCATTTCTTAATCCTCCATTCGAAAGTGTACACAATTCGAAATGCGAATTTGTGTTCTTTACCCTTTTCAAAATACGCGCGCGCGGACGCACGTTCGTACGCGATGTCCTATCCAGTCTGTGTATATGGAGATCAATGGTTCGAACTATTGGCTTGCCCTGCGTGAGTTACGTCACGAGTCAACTAATTGATAGGTCACAGGTCAACCACTGATAGGTCACAGGTCAACCACAAGTAATTATTGTGGTTGATTAAAGTTACCTCAAGATTCTAATTATTACGAACGCATCCTGGTATAGTCTCAAGACCCAGAATGGGCAAAGAAAGGGTCACTATGGTACCCAAACTTACAATATTCGAGGCACAAGGGGAACTTAATATTCAACCTTCCAGTGATAACCACAATTAACCAAAAATGGGTTGGCAGCAGTATATAATCCTTCAAGTTCCCAAAACGTCTGTTTCTGACTACAGGTATCGCGTAAGGAAATTTATTTGGCAGTTTAAACATATAATTTTAATTAATTTAAATAGTATGGGTTTTATACATTTTTGATAAATCAACTTCACCAAAATTAAATGTAGAGGTAGAACGTTTTCTTGAAACAATAAATCGCCACAAGACAATGAATAGGCCTATGACACGTGTAAGTCAATGCAATTGTCGACTGAATGCAAATAAGTGGGACGTGAAAAGCTATTACATGTTTTTGTCTAGTACCTGCCATCCTAATTGGTTAAATTAATGACGTCGAGTCTTGATTGTTCTTTATTAGCACACAGACTGTACGTACAATGCGTCAGCCAGACAATGTGCAAACATTTCTCGTGAGAACAATTGTGTTTTTTTTCTCAAACTGAAGGAAGCATTTGACTCTTTTGAAAGAAAATAACGATAGCCTTTTGGTTGAAGCTTGGCACGTGCCTAGTCAGTCAAGACCCCCTCAGAATGACGTTCATGTATTTATACTATTATGCTAATTGCGTCTCTCTGCATGTTTTGACAATATGATGGAAGCATTCGAAGCCATAAAGGCAAAAGAAAATATAGGACCCAAACAGCGGAAATTGTAACCTTAATTGAAATCCGTTCATTACAAAGCTAAAAGCCGATTGGGTAAATTTTAGGAATGTGAAGTGAAACACATTCAGAACTGCTTGTTTGATTTGTGTTTGGGCGCCTCCGCCACAAGCTTCATCCTTTGGGATGCTGCTCTACCTCCATAGTTTATACAGCTATTAATTACCGATACCGATATTTTTGGAAATAAATATTTCTAATTGAATCGAAGACTGCAGGTTCACCTTATACCATAGCCCAATGAACCATTGCTTGGATAATTAGATTGTATTTGATTACGCAGGTTCTCGAGTGAGTTACCATCGGTAATTGAATTCAGACATTACAGTGAACAGTCCTACGAGCACTGAAAAAAACCGCGAAATGTAAAGAATCCTTTCAGAGATCTTGATGACAATGTTCGAATGTTGGGAGCGGGAAACATTCAATTTCAGGAGGCCATAATTACGGCGTAATAATTGGTGTTCCCCTGGCCATGGTCTTGGAACATAATGATATTAACTTGGTAAGAGGGTTTGATCTTTATCTGTCGCCTGAACACCACTTCTCTCCGCACCATCTGCCGGCCCGGTCGCCGCCTATAATCACTTGCCTTACCACTCCACCGGTCGAACCGTCAGAACTGCGGAAGAAGTTGAACCTTGAAGATGATGATGGCGATATAGTCCAGCCGAATTAAGATTAATTTAAAACGACAAAGTGGTGGGCCCATATATATTCGATCGCTGTGGTTGTTGGTAGCGAATCTGCATGCATGTCAGCTCCGATACCGAAATTTTGATCCCGTTGAAAGGTCTTGCTGAGACAAACTGCGAGATCCATTTCGATATTGGCTTTGAAATTGCAAATTGAGCGTAAACATTGTCTCAACATTTTATTATCGCTGCATAGAGGAATTCGAATATACACTTCTGGTCATCTTTGAGTTTAAATAAATGAAATTAGTCTTTTCGTTACAAATCTTCTCATCGTCATTTTGGTTAATCCTTAGCCTAGAACGGAGTCATTTATAAATCAACGAACCTGCCAAAAAAATCAGAAATGACCAAGTTCTGTTTAAAAGAAAAGGTCGTTACAGAACTTGCATATCCTTGTGAATCTGTAAAGGCATCAGCCAGAAAAAAAACCAATCAGATACTAACATCAGATTTCCCGAGGACTCTCTCTGGCAAACGATTTTATCTTTAAAAACTATATTTAATTTCATACCTTTGATGTCTTTGATCGTGAACACCAGTTAAACACTCCCCTTAGGCATTGTACGTCATGTTTACTTTGATACTTCGACTGATATGGTGCTATCTGATGGACCGTTGCATTATGCTGATTTCCTTTATCGACATGACGCAATGCACGGGATACATTAAAATGCCTGTATTAAAAAAGGACCGCATATCCAATAACTGACTTTAACTACAGGATAGTACCCAGGAGGAATGGCGCCCTCTATTTAAATGCATAAGAGCTAGTCCTGAGGATTGCATAACGACCGCCGAGTCTTCCCGCGATACTAGATCACTGCTGTGTTTACGCTGTATCCCAATTCCCCGCAATACTTAATTACGGCCGTGTATTCCCCCGCCCCTTCCTATGTGTGCTGTCATCACTATGTGGATTCTTAACGACACTTGGCAACTCGACTGTTTCCCAGAAGCCTTGTTTACCGCCAGCCCACATTCATCTTAGATCGCCCCCAGTGACGTATGTTCAGGTGTAAAAGACGGCTTTTGTTCTTCTTCTTGTTGCCACAGATATCTAGCGTTTGCAGCAACTTCATCACTGGCCTACAGTAGGTAACCAAACACGGTGAAAAGCGAACAAGATACGACAGGCGAAACTGCTAACGGAGCAACGCAAAGGGGCTATATTGTAACGGCTTGTGCAAGACTAGTCGGTGGCTTCGAAGACATGGCTGTGGTGCCTGGAAAGACGAGTCGTGGTGAGTTACCTTAAGAATCATTTTATTGGTATTTCCAAAGTTGAAAGTCGATTGACTATCGAGATTTTGTATCCTTCCCGATTGCCATTCGTTTTTAAATTACGATCAGGCATTTAGTTGCATAACCTCAACTTGAAGTTTCTCCTTTCTTTCTTATTTTAATGTTGAGTCTTCGATTTTGCTTGTTATCAGCTGATCAGGACGAATTAATAATAATAGGAACGGGCTGCCTGAATTATCTTAAATTGGGTAGATGTAGATGTCTAGAACTGAAATGCCCCCGAAATATCAAATGATTTCTAGGCGGATATGGGTTTACATTAAGGGTCCGAAGTGTGATATTTTTCTTGTCCTTGTTACCTTTTTATACAGGGTGAGTAAAAAAAAAAGAAACCCGAATGTCGGGACTAATGTTTTATTGAAGTTCTGCATGTAGCACTTTCAAAATCTAGGATATAAAAGCCCAATTCCTAAGCTATTTCTTAGTACAAGAATCATTCAAATCACCTATGTATTTTTTAAGTTACGGAATTTTAAACACAACCACCGTTTTAAAGTTCTGTCCACGGACCACAAAAAAAATGTGTGTTCTTTCAGCAAAACGAAAACAATTCATATTGTTGAACACACATATCTTTGTGATTTGTGTTCATTTTGCTGAAAAAACATTGAACTTTTTTTGTGATCCGTGGACAGAACATTAAAACAGTGGTTGTGTTTAAAAGTCCGTAACTTAAAAAGTACATCAGTGAATTGAATGATTCTTGTACTAAAAGAAAGCTTAGGAATTGGGCTTTCATATTCTTGATTTTGAAAGTGCTACATGCAGAACTTCACTAAAACAATGGTCCCAACATTTGGGTTTGTTTTTTTGACTCACCCTGTACTTTCTCATTTGCCATTCAAGTATCTTTTTGAATGACTTCAAACGATTTTTATTTGTTGGGTAAGTTGCTATTCATAATCAATCTTGGAAGACGACTCCCTCAAGGAATGTATCAGAATTATAAAATCAAAGATGTCAGATGTAACAGAGACAGGAAAAAAGTGGACCCCAAAATATAATGACTATGGAAGGGTTGTTTTTGTTTGCAAAGTATCTGTTTTTATGTCTGGTTTTAGATTTTCACTCACACCAAAATGTTATTGTGGAGGGTGGCTGTGTGCTAAGCAATGCACAGTAATTGATTGATTCTCAAATGATCCGTCACTGTACTTTTTTTCAGTCAGTTTATTAATTAAGGTCAATGGAAAATAAGAAAAGGGACTTTACTTAAAATCGTATTTATAAGAAGTTTCAGCAGAAGCAGTAATTAGTTTTGTTTGAATTTGTAGCAAATAATAAGAGTATTGCAAGACATGTTGTCAGTGAAGTTGTTGAGTGAACAAAATTACATACCTCAAAATATATTGGTCAAAATAATTAAGTAGGCCCTATTGAAATCAAAGCTAATCATGCTATCAAGGCCAAAAAAACCGTCTTAGATTCTCGGAAGTTTTGAAATGAGTAAATTTCCAATCAATCGTTTTGATGCAGGGAATTCAAAACGGTTGAAAGTTATCATTCCAAACAATACATTATAGGACTGTGCAGAGATCTCTGAGCCGAAATTCATGTTCGTGTCCAACCCTTTTACTTGCGCGTTTCTTTTTTTTCACGAATGTGCTAAGCTTTTTGCCGCACCTTTGAGCCCCGAGGGCATTCACTTTGGCGTCATGGCAAGATATCTATACCTTGCCAACTCGCTCATATCACAGCCGGCACAGGCTCAACCAACCAAGCAGGATTAGCGGTGGTTTTACCCGCATTGTAAATTTGGGCTTAGGTATATTATTGGATTCTGGCTTTTCCAATTAATCAAGGGGATACCGCTCGGGAATATTACCATGCCCCTACACGCCTATGCAATTTTAGTTTAGAAATATACCAAAGATGGATTCCTATAGATTGACATTGAGTAGTAATGCACCGAACGAGGGGGCATAACCTAATTTGGACGGCAATGGGCAATTGAAATGAAATTATAAGGGGTCCAATTATTCGAATAAAAAAATATATACGTCATTATTGTAAACTGATCCGTGTTTAGGAATCACTTTTTTCGCAGAATTTATAAACAGATAAGATTATGAATTCTTGTGCTTCTCAGTTTTTTGTTTGTTTTTTGATTTAGAGATTCTAATATTTTCGTGAGTGTGTTTTTATAATACACTTTCAGAAAGAGCGAAAATAGATGTTTGGAATCCGTCAATTCCCTTGATTTCCCTCTCTGTGGTTGGACGTTCTCGAAGGTTTTTTAAAGGCACTTCAGGACATTTGCAATACCTGGAAATGCACATATCTTTGCTCAAAGTGAAGATAGGACTTGTACCAAATACCCTGTGAAATTATTCCGGATGAAATGGTACCATTCGGAAGAAAACAATCATTTAAGGTGGTTTAAGAAAATGTCACCGCGGGCACAGTTTTTTTTTACGTGCGTTAGCGACGTAAACCCCAGTTACAAAACCCCAAAGACTGTGCATACGTTTCTCAGTTTTCTCAAAATGTATAGCATCCACTGAGTTAAAACTCAACCAGTTAGTTGTTATGCACCCTTCTTAATATTTGAGCAATTGTGTTGTTTTAAACGAAAACAAAAATGCACAAAAACCTTTAAGTAATTAAGGGCATTGCTTTATGGACAGAAGATTATAATATGTTGCAACATGTGAGAAGGATTTGGGTGGCGATGTATTGTTCTTTATTTACAATACAAGATGTCTCTATAACAAAAGCAAATCATGTTAGTAATGTGCCGAGCCTTAATGACATGTATTTATGCAAATCTATGCATATGACGTAACATAATGAATGAATAAAATAGTCTGGTAATGCGGAAAGTCTTAATTAGACGAGTATGCATTTTTTTCTGGGATTCCTTAACTAATAAGACAATAGCCATGAGTTGCGTTCATACATTATTTATCTGGACAGGCGTTTTGTTTTAGAACCATAAATATTATGCATGAATTTGCATATATTTAAATTTACATTTGGGAATACATTTTTTGGGGGGTAAATTGTCCTTATGTGTTTTGTATCTAACTAGACTGTGCTGAATCTGTGACATCGCTTTTGGATTCTTCTCAGAGTTTCACCCCATGTTGCTTCATTAAGGCTCTCACTTTTATTATGGCTCTATGTAACAAAGTGAGAGGTCACAGTCAAAGGTTTTCCTTTAATGGATATGGTTAGGGGACTTCTCCGAGACATCTGCTATCCAGCAATGAATCAGAACTGCTCCTTGGGGCAAATGCCATCGACCGCCGAAACAAAAAATCAAGGTTATATGAAATCGTGATAAAGATCATAATATTATCTCTCTGGTAATAAGACACACGGACTTGAGTGTGGAAGTCTCTCATGAAAAAGACAGATTTCCTAACATGCCTATAATTATCATACCCATTAGGTAGTGTACAACTAATGATTGCTTATGGATGCAATGGTATGATTAATTTCATGTGGTGAAAGATCGAATATTTGCACGAGGCGAAGCCATTTCAGCTGTCACCAAATGAAATTATTCTCACCGTTGCATGATGTGAAACATTCAATATTTTGTTTTTTACAACGTTTGAATAAGTTGGTAACTAGTGTGACCGTGCAACGGAGCTTCTGTATACCGTGGTATGGTATCGAACTTGTTTTTTCCTCCTTCTATAACTTAGAACTCCTCCCCTGAACACACACACTTTCCAGTTTACAGTATTTCTTGCTAAACTAGTAAGTTTAAGCTCTGAATTGTGATAATAAAGCACCCTGCTCTGCCATAGACATGAGAGATTGGATAACGATTCATTCAGCGCAGAATGACATTATCCATGTTAACTGTAGTGTTCAGCGTGGTGACGCAAAAGTGGCGATCAAATGACTTCCTGAGTATTGAAGGCCGGCTGAATCGGTATCGATTCTTCGTCAGTACAAAAGCCAATAATAGGAGTCACGTACCCGAACTTCAAACGCCTGCAGAAATCGATACCGATTCGTTTAGCTTTGCTTTGTACTGCGATTCTTTTTTGCCTGAAATTCATATTTTCCTCCTACGACCAACGTTCATTCGATAAAAGCGAAATTAAACCTGACGGCCGTACCGTCACATTACGCCAGGATTACAAGGGGGTGTTCGATAGGCTCGCCTCCTCCGTTAATCCCCTTGCATAGCCATTGCCAAATAAGCCCAATCGGTATTCCAACTTTGTGCATTGCAAGATTCCACGGATTTTACTGTAGGATAAACACGACAGATAAAAATACACAGAACACGTGCTAACCGAGTCTGCACTCTTTGATGTTTCGTTAGCACTAAAGTAGGGGGCATACAAACACCGAAAAACACTTTGCTGCGCACTATTTTTGAAATTATGTGTTTACTTCAGAGCAAGACAGTTTCTTTAATTTTGCTGGTACCCGCTATGATTTTGCACGCTTAAGGCGAGTTGTTTATCCCGAAAGGAACATCTTCAAATCTTGATGTGAACATGCGCAGGTGGAATACCTATAATATTTTGACCTGGGGTCAAATGTCTCGCATGCGCAACACGCGTACGCACGGAATGTCTGTGCATTGATGATGGTAAGAATCGTTTACGTCCCGATATTTTTCGGAAAGAGATCAAGTGTCAACAGCACCCTTTGCTTGGACGTTGTGTATGAGCCAACCCAAGCAGAAATCAGAAGTCTTCATTGAGAACGACATCGGACGAAAACTCACGGAAATTGATCTCCTTTGAAAATTTGAAATTAGCCAGACACTGGCATGATTTGGCACAAATGTTTTACCCATGACAATGGGAGAGATATTCTTACCAAATTGTCGATTGCCTTTGTATTATGAAAAGGTAATTTTGGTTAAAAAAAAGATGCCAATACTGCCATCACCCTTTAATCTGTTTCTTCAGGAAATCGTTAACGTAATGCGATCTTGTTTAAAAATAGACGATCATTGAAACAGAAGAAAACATGACTATACAAATTCTGCAATCCGGTTTTCCTAGGACATCCGATGCTAATGTTTCGAGGGAAATACTCCTTTTTTAGCTCATTTTCGACAGCACCACGTCACCTGTAAGAATTCTACTCTTAGACGACATCGAAGTGAAACAGATCCGTCTCTGTGAAGTCATTGAATCGCGCTTGAATAAAAACGACAAAGGATCCTCAAAAAATGGCCTGTTTATACGTGTATTGAGTTTCCAGTAACAGATCCCGTCGTTGATTCATATGATAAAACTGAGCAATGTTCCGCAACACCATTGCACAATGTATTTGTCCCCATTTCCCTAACAACCGAACTGAAGAGAGTTGCATAAAAAGGATGAATCGGACACTTGTGAGAGAAATTGGCCACGGCTGTAAAGGGAGCCCATTCCGGTGAGGTTTTTGTCGTAACGGTGATTCATGATGTTGTAAATTTGGCATCGGAGCGACCGCAAATATCGCGATCTTAAATTACAAGTCGTACATTTTCGAGAATGTATAAATATTGACCGAGTCACGCTTGGATCATAAGCCCCGAGGGCTTCGTACTTTGAGGGGAGAAAGGGGACAGAATAAACTTGGAGGGTCTAGATTTTGGAGGTTCCGAGAGGGTGTTTTGAGGAACAAGCCCTTGAAAGTTCGGAGCTGGATTTTTTTTAATGCACCATTTAGCCTCATAGTTATTAAATAGGACTGGATTTTTTGAGTGTGAATATTAATTTATCTAAACGTTGATGAAAACTCTAGGAAGTTACGCGACTTTCACGCATAAACTTTGTAACATTGTTTTATCGTTATAGGTCAGTTAAACTTACTTACTTTGGAAGTTAGGCTGAACCTTCGGGAACAATAAAATACACAATATGGTGGAAATAGAAACAGATGACTAAAAAAATTAAAAACAAAGTGGTCATTACCCCAAAGTCGACTGATTTGAAAGGTACTCTTAGATTTTATTTTATGTTATTTTTTAACAACCCGATCGCTCTGACAATCTTTAGAATTAGGACCATCAATGGTAAATTGATCAATGGATACCAATGGTAAGCTTAGGGAACAATGCTGTTAAGTATACGACTCTCTCAGTCTCTTAGGGAAGTCTTTGCAAAAACGGTGCTGTTAAAAAACTCACCTTGATAACTAAAGTGACTATACATAAAGGTATTTGAAGGAACTAGGCACAACCCGGGAGACATATCCTACCAGGAGAGGCCGGCCCAGTACACGGGGCTCAACGCCCGAGTTCCGGCCGGCAAGTTTGTTGGTTGCCAGCCGTGCAGGTGCGCAAGCGGTACTGTGTAATCACGGTTCTGTTGATTCGTCAAGTCCGCTTTAGGCATGTCAATTTACTCCTCGGATCTCTGCTCCCCTGGGCCAATTATGAGGTCTAAAAGAAGTTCAAAATGAAACCGATGCCTCGTCCTCTCTACGTCAATCATCCACGTGTTGACTGCATAGTGTCCCGGGTTGTTTACATGCCTTTGTTTGATTTACTGTTTCTCCAAACTCCGCGATTTGTCGATGAATCGAAAAAGCACCTGCTTATTTAGCGAATAGTGACAATCTTGCGCAATGGTTCCTCACTTTCGCCACATTTTTGTCGCCATTTATCTTATCTGAATTTCCTTTTTTTTTTTATAGCGAGTTAGCTCCAGAATCCAGACAAACACAAATGTTCTGAGTGTTACACTTAGTCACTGCCATTTCTCCTTTTTGGAGCTTTTTGATAGAAAGGGCAAGTCAAGTATTTTGATCGGTGTTTCTACTGGCATTTTAAATCGCGTTTATTTTTTTTCATGCAGTATCTTGAAACTTAAATGGCCTGGACAAAAGGAAGTATTCGCACATTCCATTCAAAATTAAATCTTTAACAAAAGATTTTACATTATAGGTTGTTTGTCATTTCGCCTGTGAATACTTCCGTCCGAGTGTAGACGTAGGCCACTTTGAATGGAAAAGCAAAACGGACTTAACATTCTATAGCTATGGAGATGTTGATCTATTTAATTGACAAATTGTATTCACGCTCGATCATATCGAATTCTCGTATTTAAATTACTTGTATGTTTGACGGTATAAGCATACTGAAATACACTCGTTTTAATACAAACGAGAAGCGGCGCATAAATATTCCTCTAATTTCGCTCTCAAATTTGGAAAAAGTCGTGAAAAGGTTGGGGTGAACTTGTTTTAAGTCTTTATTTTCAACTTCAATATCTATGATGGAATGCTGGATGATATTTTGGATAGGCCTATATTTCATCGCTTTTAACCTATTTCGAGGCGTTTGCTGGCATTCAATAATCACTGAGGTGTGCATGTCTTTTCAATGCCAACGCTTCCGTTAAAAATTTAATTTCACATGATTAACGGGCCACGATCGACTGCTTTAGCCTGAATGATGTTGTGGGGAAACCATGGTGATGGCCTTGTTATTGACGCACTTTAATATTTGATAATTTCAGCTCTTTTAAGAGCAAGTCAAAGCCACAAGTTATTTGCCACTATATATATATTTTGACACCAATATTAAAATCACATTTTTTTATGAAACATAAGACGAATTTTCGTGTGGCCTTCCTTCAATTCAAGACATTCTAAATTTCTCTCTTTTTGGGATGAATATATATATAAATAATGGGCGCTGTCTTTTCAAATAGTAAGTTCGTTTACCACCTATGTCCAGCATAGGTCCCACCTGAAAATGTAACAAACTGCAAATTTTATAACGAAAACGACTGCAAAACCCCAACTCAAAACGGTAGCGCCAACCCAGAAGTGTCTGCCGTTTGACGAGCGTGCAGATTATAGTCAAGGTAGAAAAATGAAACGAAATTACACTGGTGAAAGAATTCCCAAATCGACCGTGCCGGCTATTTTGGTGCGCAAAATCGATCGGTGAAAAGTGATAATGAGTACTAGGCCAGGTCAGGAGCGCATGACGGCAAGCGAAAAGGTCTTTGTCTGTTACATCTTCCGCGATATTATTAGGCGTATTCTTATGGTTTCTAGCTCATCGAGATTCGTATAACAGTTGCGTTTAATACCTGTCAAGGAGACTCTGAGAACCCCACACCAAAAGAGAACCGGCTCGACATATTCATGCATTGTTTCTGATGTGAAATACTAATAAGCCGCACTGGTGAAGGAGTGTTGAAGTGGTTTTTCTATAATTATAGTGTCTTACTAGATACTCTGCTTCTTGTTTAGATTGGCTAATGAAACCGGTGGTTCGGGGAGTGTGTGCCAACCTTGCCATCTTTGTGTGGACCTTCTGTGGACTAAGCCAGGTCCACACAAGGCTTCCCCCTCTCTAGAAAACAGGTTTAGAGGCATTTTGGGGTTAGGGTTATCCGTCGCAAAATGAAGAGGAACACTTAATGAAATCTGATAAAAATGGGGTTGAAAGAGTATTCACAGTGTGAGTAAAATTTAAAAAAAATTCTCCGGTGTCTCTTAAATACACGAAGATAAAGGAAAAAGGAGAAATGTCCACACTAATAGCCTTGTGTGAGTGTACATGTGGGTTTGTTTATGGTGTAAACCGAGGACACATGTGAAACGTCCTTGTGTAATGAGGACAGGAGTCAAATCGAGGAAGTCCTCGATTAGAAAAACGTGTACAAACACAATGGGACCTGTTGTCAAAAAGTTATATAAGTATGAACAAAAGATCGATGATGAGGAACAATATATGCATCTGTTCTATATCGTGACAATGTGCCGTATTGAACCCATTCATTGCCGTTACGGGATCACCCTGTGTAGCCTGGCTAACAAGTCAGTCAGTCAGTCGGGGAGTAGTCTGTCAGTCAGTCTGTGAGATTAGGCTGGCCCTCTGGGACCAGCAAAATATAACTTCTTGTCACAACGTGGAAACACAAAAGAAATAGCTACCTAAAAGCAGTGGCGTAGCATTTCAACTTTTAAAATCTTGAATGGAACAAACAATCACTTATACCTTCATTGCCCCCACTTGAAAAATGTATGCACCCCTGCCCCTCAGAGGTTTAACCTTAGTTACGCCACTGCCTAAAAGTTAGTGACGGGGTGGTGGTTAAACAATGTCCAAAATGACCACAGAAACCGTACCCTTCTTAATACCGATTCCAATGGTTATTTTCTTCACAGGGTTGGTGTGGCTGTTACTTTTCCTGGTGGTTACAGCAGTGTGTCTACAGCCGTGTCACGCGAACAGAAAATGTTCAGTCAAAGGCTGCATGATACACTTCGGCAAAAGAATAGCCCCGCTATTGGAGGAAGATGGTAAAGAGACATTTTTTTTAATTTGCCGTGAGATAAGCGGGATCAATGCACGGTCTAGTCAAAAGGGAAAGCCTCTTAGCAAGTTTCGGTCATTTATGAAATAGCTAATGAAATCCTTTTTGGCAACGACGCCAATTATAGTATTTTCTTGGCAAGGGTATAGTTTCGTTTTTGACCCAATATTACGATTTTTTGCGAAAGGCGAATATCAACTGCACTGAAATCATGGAACGTAAACCTGGTTTTCAATTCTAAGTCAGTAAAATAGCTGCTTTCAAAGTATCAAGACCAATATTACTGCGAGATACGCAATTCGCCAAACAAAAATGAGGAAAAACCAGACCAGACTATTTAAATTCACGCTTAGGCCTGTTGAGCATCAGGCACTATGTAACGGAAAACTCAGCACACATTTGGACGGATCGTTAACGTTTGACACCATTTACACTGCAACCGGAAAGGAGCGGATTTGATAACGACACAATCTCTCCTCCCATGTATTTGGAGAGCACTCCAGTGGAGGTTTAACTGTGTAACTACAGCCGATATAGGTCTGCATGGTATTCGTGGATTTGGTAGTCGAGAGCAAGTAATGAATGTTTCTGTAAAGAGAACAGACTCCTGCGGGGATTTCCGTTTGAAAACAGGAGCGGGATACAAGAAGTACCGGCTTCGTAGAATCGGTAATTGGGAAAGATCATCTTCTGGCGTAGCACCCGGTTGTGCATGTATTCTACCGCCAAAATGATTTGGGACATGTGGTGTATAGCGCCCTCAATACGAGTGTTATTGTTGATATTCGCTGCATGATACTCTTTTAATTGGACTCACATTGTTTGAAGGGACGCACCGTCCTGAAATCGTGGACATTTTTAAAGATTTTTTATTTATCCTTTTTCCAAGGTCTGATTGAAAGGAAACTAACTTAACTGTTCTTGAGAAAAGATACCCCCCCCCCCTAGTTCATTACATCTGACGCGCCGGACATTTTGTGGCATACGTTGTGACTGTACGGTACCGCACTTATACAACGATAGAGAACGGATGATATAATTATGTTGGGAGAGGTATGTGAAGTTGAAAAGTGGCTTCTTCGTGTCTAACGCTTATGATGGCGCTTTGCACTATGAATCCAATTAATTTGTTCGGACATGCGCAATAGCCTTAACATTTGAGTGAAGTCTATTCCGAAAAGACTGAAACTGCATCTTGAAATCTACAACTAAGTTTTAAGACACTGTATTGCGAAGTAAGCAGGCCGAAGATGAAATTTAGCTGATCGTAAAGTGGATGCAAAGGAGGGAGAGGAAGATTGCTAGCGGTAGCTGGAGGTGGTCCTTTTTATCATCCGGTTCTATTATATACTCTGAAAGTCACAGACGTCTTAAAGGCAATATGACGCGGTAGAAATGTCTCACCAGTAGTTCGGAAACAACAAACACAGTAGGCCAATCCAGGGCCGCCACGAACCTGCTTGTTTCAAGTGGGCGCCTTGGGTATTGTCCAAAGAGAAATATGTCCTAAGGCGCCATACAGGTGGTGCCTGGTTGGTCTTTACACGCCCGCCAAAAATGCCCATGGGTTGAAAGGTACTATTTTCGGGGGATATTTGATGACCGACAACTCCACTCCTCAGTGTTTCTTGCGGGCATAGGCCAATATCAATAACCAAAGGTAATTACGCCACCTGTTTGTTAGGTTCTTTATCGAGTGTGGCATCGATCTTTTCTGGTGTGTCACTCAAATAGACCGGGCAGTTGAAAAGGAAAGTAATGGCCTTTGTGTCAAAATGACAGCTTCCATTGTCCGCGTTGCTATGAAATGCCAGGTTTCCGTCTGACTCCCAGACAGCCGACGCTCGTCCCGGAACTGAGCTTTGTTTCTCTCTCAATTCGATACTTTTACCAAAAAACAGTCAAGTGAAAAATCAGCGACATACATAAGATACATTGCAGGTGTAAAAGCCAGCACGCGCATTTAATGCCGTCGTAAGATTGGATTCTTGTCTGCACGCCCACTTCCGTCTTTTGTTCTTGCGAAACTGCATGGGGACCCTTAATTCGCAAAAAAGGGCAATAACAAAATATCATCCGTAAAGGTTGTGAAAGGGTGGGTGGGAACATGCGTTGGTGGAACTCCTGGGTTTTTGTTTATACATTTCTATTAGTTCTTTTATATAAAAAGATTAAGATTTACTATTCACTTGCTTTTACATTTTTAATGTACCGAAATGAACACCTCCCATTTGAAATGAAGGCCTTTCTATTCAAAATTGTGTTGCGGATACAAACGAAATTTAACTATTTATCATGGCTTGTGAAGAACAAAAACTGCTAAAAAGGGTCCGTTTGGAATTCGTCGAAACAAAATGTACCGATGACAACGTGTTAAATGCGCTCCGTCGTGCGTAGCGAAGCCGAAGGATTATGACATTGATCATGGTTGAGCTAATAGTACGTATTCAGTCAAGCGATTAATTACAGGGCTGTGTTCTCAAAAGTCGCAATACACGTACGGCGAGAGTACAGCTAACCTTTCTTCCTTTCTGTTTACCGAGCGCTGCTATTGTGAGGCACACAGTATGATATAAATCTTTTAATTATTAATGTGACTATACGGCTGCCGTCTTATTATCATTGGCGCCGCCTTGGCTTGTCGCACGGTAATTAAACCCGCATTGGCATCGATGATAATAACTCCAACATTGGGAAATTAACTCTTAATGCTTAAGTAATTAATAGATGGAGTTTGGCTTTCTGTTTTGGAGATTTTAAGGGATAAATTCATTTACTGACTTCATGTTATATTCCATTGTGAGAACATAAAACCCGTAAAGAAAATGGCGTTTAAATCATGACTAGAAAGAGTCATTTTCCAAAAAAATTGTTGTATCCACTCTATAGCCGACTAGAAAAAAATTGCCGAGCCGCTTTCGTCTCGCGCCCAAGTATTAATCTCACAGTAAAAACCTTAAGTAGTTAGACCCAATACTGTTGTGGAGGGTTACACCTCTATGTTCCGACTGCATATATTCCTATTCCTAACCCTAACCCTAACCCTAACCCTAACCCTAACCCTAATCCGAACCCTAACCGGGAGTAACACAATCTAGGTTGTCGGAACATAGGGGTGTCGGAACATAGAGCAGTCACCGTTGTGGAGTTTTATTGTTCCATATTTTACAATACCACGTCACTCAAAACAAAGGCATGAAAACTGTAATGCAAATTATTTATGTGTATTCGGTAACCAAACTGCGTGTGCTTTTCAATGAAAGTTCTTCACATGTCACGTGATTTAAGACGTTACTCCTCACTCCATGCACCGCAGGCTAAAATTCGACCCGATGAAAATTCTTGACCTTTGGAGGGTTTTGTCGGAATTGGTTTTTGCGCTGAGCTTTTTACTTCGAAACCAGATAGAGAAGTCTAAGACGGAGTGATTGTCAAAATTTCAAGAACAACAGGCCATTAAGTATACTGCCACCAAGAGTCTCCTAATGCCCAATCTTTTTTGATAGCCTCATTACCAGATGTTTTCTTTCTGTTTCTCTTTCAGCTGAACCAGCCACGGATTACCTAACATCCAAGGAATACCAACAGCAAAGGCAAAGGAATCTCAATATGCTCCGCTTAGTGGAGAGACTCCTGTCGGGCGGCATGACGTCACGAAATTCACCCCTTGACAACGAGACGGAATGATTTGGACGTTGCTAGGATACCGAGTCAACAATGGAAATAATCACGAGTATTGAGGGGGCATATCAAGATTTTGTTTTTGGTTCTGCGTTTCATGCTATAACTTCTTTGTGTCCTGTCTTATGGCGACCATCCATCTTGATTTTCCGTAAAGACACATGATGATGTCAATACTTTTCAACCTTTTTTTCTGGCTCTTTAAACTGATATGGAGACACTTCAATTAAAACCGGTTCAACGTGTAACTTTGTGTAGATAAGAGAAGTGAAAATACAGCTGTTACTGTTTTTTCTTCATTGCCGATAGTACGGCGCATGTGCATTGCATAATAAGCCGTTTACGTGGCTTAGCCCAATAATGATACACCTCACCAAATATTTTTTGAGCAAGGCACGAAGTCTGGCTCGAGGTCTTGGTACTAGACCACGATGTCCGCACTGTCAGGACTCGCATCCCATGTCTGGCTTTCTTTGATTTATTATTTGCAGGCAATCCAGTTTGCAAAGTCTTGCATAAAAACAAATTCAAAATTCACACAGCATTACAGCTCTTGCGCAAAATATAAACATCATGTATTGGACTAAAAAGGAATTACTTTGAAGCATGGACGGTCATTTTGATAATGTTTAAGAATCACATTTGAACACATTCAGTATGGTTTCCTTTAAATTTATCGAAATGTTTGAGCTTGCAAAATGAAAAGTGTTAAGAAGAAAAAAAAGACAATTGTTTATTCACGACCGGGTTAAACGTTTAGATTGTTAAAGTATGTCAGTTTTAATTGTTGGCATATAATTGCATCCAACTGGACTGAGACGAGTTTAACTTGACATTTAAGGACAACAAAGTAAGAGTCTTATCGTGTAGTTTATGACGGGACTACTGCTCAACGTAAGCTAACCATTATTCCGCTGGCACAAATTGCGTCTGAAATGGAATAATTATGTCCACACATTCTTTCTGCTTGTATATTTGCATTTGTTGTAATTTAAAGTCTTCTTTGAAAGGTATAGTTTTGTAGGAAAGAATAAGTTTTCTGGGATTAAATGCACACAAAAACTGCATGTAAAGTGTCATTTTTGTAAGGACCTTTTACACTCGTGCCGAACTAAATAATTCAAAAGATTTGAATTCAGTCCGCCAACAAATTGACGTTTGAAACGATTAGGAGCGACTACACGCGAAAGATCGACTGCTGGACTCGGAATTGGAAGTTGACAAACTAGTTCCCTTGGCTTCGCCCTAGGAACTAGTTTGTCAACTTCCAATACCGAGGGGAGCTAATACCAACTATCCACCCTCAAACCATGGTATATTAATTTGTATTAAACTGTTTGTTTAGGCGCGATACAGAAATGGGTAACCCGACGTGGCAGTGGTAAATTAAAAAGTCACGATTAATTGAACAATTAATTATTATGAATGATCAAAATAAACCAAGCTGTTCGAAATAATAGTCTTAATTTGATATCAAATATTCTAATAGAATAGTTGGACCATTGCCAGTACTAACGTGGATTCATCATGACGCTATAACACGATAATAATAATTAAAAAAACAGCTATGGCATTAATAAAAAAAAACCTGAAGAGTAAAATGATTACTATCCACCTATATTTGTAACATAGCGAGAGAATGTAGACATAGATGATATTAAGCACAGTGTGTTAATTGATAGATAGCTCGGTTTCTTCATAGTTATTTTATGCTTTGTACATAAGCCATGCTGTGCACACCCGCAGTATATAACACTGTTAAAAAGAGGAAGAACCTGAACCATTCACATTTTGTTTGTAATTTATTTCGAAGACGTGTATGTTTCTAACATTAGTACGGTCTGGTGCATCTAAAGGGCATTAATTTGTCACATAAATTATTGAACCGTCAAAACGTAAAGCTATTTATTGACAAATTATTGTGTCCAGCAAATTGATAAATATAAACTTCGTTCCCGCTTTATTTATTCATCAAAATACACCAAGCGAATTGTTGTTATATCCTCTATAGATGAAACCAAGTGGGGCTTTTAAGCCGAGGCGAATGATGTGTTATTTGTGAATAAATCAAACGTAAGAGATTGCCAAATGAGGCTTGATGTCTGACTTCATTTCTTTTCGTTGAAGTTAAAAATAAATATATTAAGATGAACTTGCGACTTAAAAAAAGGCAAGTATCTATACGTTTGAACCAATGATTGAGAAAACTTTGGACGCCTCTGTTTGCTTGATTTTGTCCATAAGTTATTTTTCTGTCACTGTTACATTGTTGGTGCTACTTCTGCGGGGAAACTGAGGGCGTGGTTTCTGTGGTATCATCCACTCATTAGTTATTTAACATACAGAGAGATCATTTGAGTCTATCCAAAAAGTTACCGATCAAATTAATGTTAAAATGCATGCTTGGTTTAAAGATAGTAAACAGCCTGTAAAATTGTTCCTTCTGGGATGCTGTCATTTTGAAAAAAATAGAAGAAAGTCATTCCCAAAGATGTGTCAAGTGACGCATTTTGGGAAACTTCCGTTGGCAGTTAGTTTGTAATTGGGCGAATCCGTGAATGGGTGCACGCGCGTTGACACGGCGGGCTGAATAAGAATCATGCCCCGAATGGTATTTTACACCCATTCCAATCTGCACTTGTTTCCCATTTGAAGACAAAATACCCCCCCCCCCAAAAAAAAGGGAAAAAAAGAAGACTTAACTCAATTAAGGAAATGTTAAATATGGCTTACATTAATCATGCCTGTCTCTGGGATAAAATCTTCAGGTAATTACTGGTTCATCGCGATGATTGAACGATCCTTATCCAATTAGTTTGCTACGAATCTTTGTTGTTTGTAATCAGGGTTGTGTATGGAATGGGGTCGGACTTCTCTGAGCTAAAACACTGACTTAATCTCATTACATGTACCGTTAGATAAAATGATTGAAAGGGGAAAAATATAACTTTGCGGCTTTTTGTTCTGCATGATCCCAGTCGACCCCAGCCTTTAATGACAAAGTCAAAGATAAATTGTTAATGAGTTATCAAGCTAAACGAGACTCGGGCAATGGCTGAATGTAATTGACGGTTGTAATCAGTCTACACCCACAGATGCATACAGTTATATTTTGTTTGCAAGTATATGCAACAAGCATAAACATAGTTAGGATACTTGCAATATTTCCTAATTTTTGTACGAACGAAGGCGCTGTATAATGACACACTTTTCAGGGTTCACACTAAAACAAACTCATGTTTTATTGTATAGCAATTCAGTATCTTTTCTTCAATCTAATTATTAAAACGGTAAAACTGAAAATAATATTTCAAATTGTAGCAACATGTCAATTAACACTGGATTTACGTCTGTTTATATACCCACAAAATTGTGTCCTTAAAGCGCCCTCTTACGCTTGTAAGTAGAACTTATCAGGTCCGTGGGAGAGAATCATAGAGGGCGCAGTAGCCATATCGGGAACAACAGTCACAAAATTATTTTCTCCCAAGTGTCCCCGCTGTCGTTCCTGATACTGCTTTGTTGAAGCTGCAAGAGGGCGCTTACATGCAGTAACACGATACCCGTTTGGCTTTGGGAAACCCTTTTCTCCACTGAAGGTTTCTTGATGGCGCTATATTATTCAGTCGGCGCGGTTTCTTCATCACAAAAGTCGTTACGGTGACGAAAGGAGTTATTATTCTGTCTAACCTTGCTCTTGCGGTTAAAACCATTTCATGCGCGATGAAGCTTTTTCAGTTTTGTTGTCATTGAAAGTTGTTTAACCAATAAAAAAAATATCATAAAGTACGTGTCATAAATTTAACAGTGCTAATTCTGTGTTGCTGTATGGTACTAAATTACAAGAACATTTAAATATCATATATATGCCAAATCCTTTTGGCTAGTCACGTGAGTCTCCAGCCAGCAATCTACTCTGATAAAAAAAAACACTGATTGGCCTTTTCCATCTGCAGGCGCGGATCCGGGGAGGGGGGTGGGGGGGGGGAGGGTGGGGGGTAGAAACCCCCCCCCCCCCACCCCACCCCAGGTCTGTCAAAAAAAATCACCCCCCCCCCGCTCTGACACCCAAAACAATTTTACTGATATTAATATACGCCTGTGCCCAAAATACGGACAGATCCTGCTGGGTTTCGGGGGTGTTGTACGTTATCCTGTACTTTAGTGTTAATAATCGTCGGATTTGAACAGCGCCCCCATTGAAGGTAGGGTACGCCCCCCCCCCCACCTTTTGATTTTGCGGAGCCAAGTGTCTGGACAAAAACAACTTTTCTACATCTCAACATTGATTTGCTGATGACACCCCCCCCCTGCAAAAATTCCTGGATCCGCCCCTGATCTGCATATCACTGCATTTTTTTCAAATGTTGACCAACGACAATTAAGACCTTTTATCAAGTACAGTTTGTATTATCTGTGTATACGATCTGTCTGGTGAAAGCATGGCAGTTTGTCTGTAATTGGCGGAAAATGCGATGTGTGTAGAGTCACCGGCATGTCCAACAACAAGCTTGTAGTGACTATAAAAAGGTCATCGACCGAAGAGTTTATGCACATGAAAAGGTTGTTCGCTCCTAGATTTGGAATTGAGACAATATCATCATCATTTTAAAAAGTGGTATAGGAAAAGGAACAAAAGCTAACAAATACCAAGTTTGATTTAATTGTTGCTTTTATTTCTTGTTTCGTGCATTTTTTTTTAATGCAATTTACATTTAAAATAAACAGCTAAGGACATAGATCTCAGTGCTTTAAGAAATTCCTCATCTGTGAACTTTTAAGGTAAACACAACACTAACAATTGGGAGAATATCATCACAAATACTATAGATATAAGTACATCATAAGAGTAATGAACATTGAACCAACCCATCAACCACGAAAATGTCCCAAACTGGCCCGTTGCTGGGGGGGGGGGGGGCGTGGCAAGCAATTCCCCTCCTCGCTCTGCGAAATCCATAAGCATCGAAATTACATGTATTTGTGTGTTCTTGTGGTGTGCCTCCTAGCTGCTACTGTGGCCCCCTAATACCCGGAGCCGGCCACGGGTTTGTCCCTGATCTGAAAATGTCAAAGAGCGACTGATCATTTCACATCAAGGGTAACCTTTTATGAATTTTTAAGTCACGTTAATAGATGACTTCTCAGCTGTATTTTGTAATGTCTTAGCAGATAAAAAAAAAAAGGTGTCATTTCTCCCTTGAGTTCACTTTCTTTCACTTGTTGAAGCTGGGTCGTTTGAATGTAACTTTACCCTATGATGAACTTTGAACATGAAACCACATTAGCTGTGGCCCGGCGGGATGAATTGTTCGAAAATACAAAAAACGCCCTCATTCGGCGGTGGGCGTACAATAGGACACTTGGCATCGCTATTGAATACATTATCTAATTAGAAACATTATCCTGGCGGGACGGTGTCCGGTTGCAAATGTCCCGACGGTCAGGTAATTCACAACCAGACAGCAAACAATAAAACTCTCGCATCCGGAAAAGGTGTCCTTTTGGCGAGTAATAATAAATACGGATGGATTTCAATCATTTCATGTTTGAAACTGCACGCCACGCCAGGCACGCCATGCGCGTAATTACCTGCATTCATCGGAGGAATATCCGTGGACGAAAGTCAAATGAAAAAATAATATTATTTGGATATGAGAGAAACTAATATCTGACAACGGCCAGAAGGAGATGAAAAATACCGGATTACTTAAAACCCGTGTTGACCAAAACTACAGAGACAAATAGAGAATTCATAGCGAAAATTGATGTAAATTAACAATTAAAGAAACATTATTTCCTCACTGTTTTGTAATCACTCGAATCATTCTGTGGTAAACCCAAGATGAAACAAGGGCGCCCTCTCCCATATAATACCCTTCAGCTCTAGAAATAACAATACGCCCAGTTCTTTTTGTTTAACTTAAGATTGTTTGAATAATATCCAATGAGTTATCATTTGAAAGCTTTCTGTCAAGTAAAACAATCAATTTCCAAGCTCAAGTTTTTCACTAGCCCGATAAAAAAGGCACGTAATGTGTCGCAGCTCAGAAAAGCGTACAGAGCATGCGTTTAACTCAATGCTTGGTCATGGACACAAAACGGAAAAGTCGAAACAAAAATGCACTCTCACGAACTGTAGATAAACTGAATCCAGGGATTTGACATTTTCGAACTTTGGCGAGGGTTCTTGCACGTCCCCCGCACAGCGTAACTGTATACGAGGTCTGATCGATGCGAACAAAAGAAGTGATTTGCAAAACTTGCGGGTAAGAGAAAAAGACGTCTTTTTTTTCTGTGACCCGTGAAGATTGACAATCAATGTGGTCATCATGAATCGATTCGTCGCCGAGGCTCGGTTACTCCACAATAGAACGATTATAACAATTACGACTAGACAAGTCTGGTTCCAGACCGATTGGTCAATGGGTGTATAGGTAAGTCATCTGAGTATCAATTTGGGCCAAGTCGAGGCTTAAGCAAGCCTTATTAACAAGTGGCAGTGAGTCACACAGTCAGTCGGTCAATCAGCATGTCATATCATGTCTGTGTGACAGGTAAATTTCGCAAATTTCAAAAAAGCCCAGTCCCCTTTTTTTATCGACATTTTAAATAATTAGATTGTCTCCCACTTATCCAAATGTACTCATAACTACTTCAGTGTGTGTATATATAAAGGCATTTATCGTTCTTATCGTTTTTGTCTTAAAGGTTTTAATATCCACTGTTTTATTTAATATATTCGCATTTTTTTTAATATAATGTTCATTGCATTTTTTGTTTATTGCATGTACCACACTTTAATTTGGCCTCAGGGCCACGATTGGTGTGAAAATAACTAAATCTAAATCTAAATCTAAAGAGTCTACACTCTGTGACAATTAAGTAAAACGCCGCATTGCATGATCCTATACATCTTCCTTAACACATTTGACGTTTTCGTAGCCATCGTCAACATAAGTAACATGTGACAGTCATGTGAGTCAGAACGTCAATCAGTCAAACATGTGGTCTATGGCAGTCATCTCAGTAAAAAGTTTTAGGCCAAGTCGAGGTTTAGCATATTTGACATTTTTGCAACCATTCTCATCG